GCCAGGGTGTATCTGTAATTCCAGCACTTTGGGAGGCCAGGGCTGGGATCACCTGAGGTCAGGAGTTTGAGACCAGCGTGACCAACATAGTGAAAACCCTGCCTCTGCTAAAAATACAAAAATTAGCTACTTGGGAGGCTGAGGTGGGAGGATCAGTTGAATCCAGGAGGTGGAAGTTGCAGTAAGTGGAGATGGTGCCACTGCACTCCAGCCTGGGCAACAGAGGAAGACTCCACTCAAAAAAAAAAAAAAAAAAAGAATGTAGAAATTGGCTGTTAAGAGGAAGATGATTTTTAGGCTGAAGAATTGGTTCTGATTTCTGTTTCTCTTAGTATTAACAGCTCGTGCTCTGATACTTGGTAGGACTTAAGTTCTGTTTGCCTGCCTGTTGTCCAGCTAAATAGACTATGGAAAAGGTGGGCTCAGTGGGGCATTAGGAAAGACAGAGGGGATGTCATAGTAGTTTTACTTAAATTTTAAAACCTATCAAATGAAAGCATATGGTGAATTCAGTGAAAGTCCAATGCTTAAAGAAGTAAGACACCTGCTGGTTGCGGTGACTCATGACTGTAATCCCAGCACTTTGGGAGGCAGAGGTGGGTGGATCACGAGGTCAGGAGTTTGAGACCAACCTGGCCAATATGATAAAACCCCATCTCTACTAAAAATACAAAAAATTAGCTGGGCGTGGTGGTGGTGGGCATCTGTAATTCCAGCTACTCAGGAGGCTGAGGCAGAATTGCTTGAACCTGGGAAGCGTGGGTTGCAGTGAGCTGAGACCATGCCATTTCACTCTAATCTGGGTGACAGAGTGAGACTTCTTCCAAAAAAAAAGAAGTAAGCCATGTTGTGAGAATCAGAGCATGAGAAAATAGTATGAAAACCAGAAACACTAAAAAATATGAGGTTGTATTGTCTCCCAGATATTTCACAATTTCTAGAAAAGTATAAAATAAAAACAGATGATAGTTGGGAAAGAAGGCATATGATGATTCAGTCAAGTAATTTTTAACCATTACTAATCTTGTGTAATTAAAACAAAATAGAACCTGTGATGAAATGGGGAATATTGACTGGGGTGAGTATAACCACACAGCAAATAATTCTGTTGTCAAAAAGAACAGTTTTAGTAATTGAAGGATGAGAGCATTTGTTTTTCAGACACTAGAAGTTAGTGTAGCCATTGTGCAAATCGCATATTTATGCCAGGTAACTGATTAATACATAAAATGATCTGTTCTTAATAGGTATGAATGGCTAGATCCAAGCATTAAGAAGACAGAATGGTCCAGAGAAGAAGAGGAAAAACTCTTGCACTTGGCCAAGTTGATGCCAACTCAGTGGAGGACCATTGCTCCAATCATTGGAAGAACAGCAGCCCAGTGCTTAGAACACTATGAATTTCTTCTGTAAGTGAATCTTCAACAGCAGTGTAGAATATATGTATCTGTTCCGAAAGAGGCTGAATAAACTTTTAGTATTTTCTCTCTTTAAACTTTTAATTACAGATGTGAGTAAAGCCAGAGCTGAAGCCATTGGATGGCATTTTCCAAATCTCATATGGTTGATCAAAATTATGCATTCTGTTATATACTTCTTAAAATAATAATTGAAAAAAATTATACAAGTCATGCATGTTCATCATAGAAAATCTGGGGAAAAAATAGTAAAAGAGCAAATAAAAGCCACCATAATTACGCTGCTGAGAATTAACTATTGCAATATTTTGGTTCTTTACTAATAGTTTTTTTTTTTTTTTTTTTTTAAGTCTGTGTAGCTATACTGCAGTTGTGATTAGGATCCGTTGGGTCCTTTTTCAGAGGGATTGATAGCAGTCACTGAAATAAGCAAATTTTAATATCTCTTTGAAATGAAGTGATGTAGAAAGGCTTTATTTTGTTAAAGCTCATCCATTGTTTTTTTTGGAGGGGGGAAGAGTGTCAGAGCTTGGAAATCTGGTAATTTTAACACTAAATGGTATTACAGTGTGACTAACTCATATGGCCTTTTTTCTAGGGATAAAGCTGCCCAAAGAGACAATGAAGAGGAAACAACAGATGATCCACGAAAACTTAAACCTGGAGAAATAGATCCAAATCCAGAAACAAAACCAGCGCGGCCTGATCCAATTGATATGGATGAGGGTAAGTGTGTTCTTTGAGGAATTTATTTCTTTGGTAACTGTAAACTCCTTAGGTCTCTTTTTAACTCTTTTAATTCCTTTCTGAACTCCTCTACTTTAGAATCCCTTCCTTTTTTTTTTTTTTTTTTTTTGAGACAAGGTCTTGCTCTTGTTACCCAGGCTGGAATGCATTGGCGTAATCATGGTTCACTGCAGTGTTCATCTCCTGTGCTTAAATGATCTTCCCACCTCAGCCTCCTGAGTAGTTGGGACTACAGATGTGTGCCACTAATTTTTTAATTTTTTGTAGGGATGGGGTCTCCCTGTGTTACCCAGGCTGGTCTCAAACTCCTGGGCTTAAGCTCTCCTCCTTTCTCTGCCTCCCAAAGAGTTGAGATTATAGGTGTGAGCCACCATAACTGGTCCCTAATTCTATTAGCAGTTCTTATTCTAAGTATCTTTCAAAATGTGTCCAGTGTTTTCTGTTATAGAGTAATTGCTTTTTCTGAATAGTGCCCCTTTATCTTCTGTTTCTTCAGTTCAGTTAATTAAGCAGTGTTACTGGGTGTGGCTGTAGTGCTGGCTGCTAAGCAAATTGAGGTGGGACGATCTCTTGAGCCCAAGAGTTGGAGGCCAGCCTGGGCAACGTAACGAGACCCTGTCTTTAAAGTTGAGTAGTGTAATTCTACTGGGTGGATTTTTCAGAGGCTGGAGGTGAGCTCTTGAGGATCCTGTTTCTCATTCCTATTCCATGGAGAGAGGCAACAAGTTGGAATATTGGACCTCAGTCCTCCTATTAATTACTAATTTGACTGTAGGCAAGTTATTCTGTGCGAGAAGGCAACACTGTGAGACAGTGATGGAGACTTACAAGTGATTCTGTGAGGTATTGAATCAGGAGTTCTATACTAGAAAGTATATGGAATCAATCTAAGTGTCCATCAATGGATGAATGGATAAAGAAAATGTGGGCTGGGCATGGTGGCTCACGGCTGTAATCTCAGCACTTTGGGCATATCCCTTGAGCCCAGGAGTTTGAGACCAGCCTAGCCAACATGGTGAAACCCTGCCTCTATAAAAAATACAAAAATTAGCCAGGTGTGGTGGCGCATGCCTGTAGATCCAGCTACTGGGGAGGCTGAGGTGGAAGGATGAGCCTAGGAGGCTGAGTTTGCAGCAAGCCAAGATCAAGCTTCGGCACTGCAGCCTGGGCAACAGAGTAAGACCCTGTCTCAAAAAAAAACAAACAGTGATGTGTGTACACACACACACACACACACACACACACACACACACACACACACTCTCACACACTATTTGGCCATAAAAAAAAATGAAATGTCATTTGCAGCAGCATGGATGGCACTAGAAGTCATTATGTTACGTGAAATAAGCCAGGCACAGAGAGGCAAATTTTCTTTGCATATTCTCACTCATCTGTGGGAGCTAAAAACATTGATTTCATGGAGGTAGAGAATAAAGTGATAGATGCCAGAGGCTGGGAACAGTGTGTAGGTGGGAGAGCGGGATGAAGTCGGGTTGGTTAATGGGTACAAATACAGATGGAAAGAAATAAGTTACAATGTTTGGTAGCAGAATAGGGTCACTATAGTTAGCCACAGTGTATTATGTATTTCAAAGTAGCTGTAAGAGAGATCTGAAATAAATACTCAAGGCAATGGATACCCAGATACCCTGACTTGATCATTACACATTCTATGCATGTGACAGACTCTCACATGTATCCTGTAAATATGTAAAGTATGATGTATTAACAGAATCAAGAATTGGGTTTTCAACCTGTGTGTGTCACCTATTAGTTGTTTGACCTTAGGCAAGTCATAAAATCTCTCTGAACTGTGATTCCCTTTGTTGCTAGATGCAGAATACTAATATCTGCTGCAGGGTTGTTGTGAAGCACTCAGTGAATATTTGTTGAGTTTCTAAAATGTAAAAGTTTGAATGTAGTGGTTCCCAAAGGCAAGCTGTGGCTAGGCTGGCTGCATCATTATCACAGGGGGTGCATTTAAAAATAGAAATATCAGGGCTTCCCCTGTATATATTGAGTCAGTACATCTGGGGTGGTGTGAGGGGCAAGGGAAGAGCAGTGATCTTGGAATCTGAGTATTTCACAAGTTCCCATGTGACTTAGCTGGACAGCCTTGCATAGGAATTGTTGTAAGGCATCAATAGTGGCATGTATTACTCCATTCTACAGAGCCATGAAAAATGTATTGGAGGAGAGAAATTGTTCTGAGGGGAAAAAAAAAGCATCTAATGATAGCAGTTCTCTCATAATTAAATAGTTTTTACCATATTTCACAATTTGTGCTGTGTCAGTTAGTTGATGATAATGAAGGATACAATAATTGTAGCCACTGTTAGTTGAATAGGATGCTTTACATATTTCATTTTACTTAGCTCTTCTCAACATCCTTGTGAAGTAGGAATTGTATTCCACTTTTATAGGAAAATACACTTAGGGAGGGTGACGAAGTGACTGTAAGGTCACGTAGCTAGCAAGTGGTGGGCCTGATTTTTAACCTAGGTTCTTTGATTTGAAAACTCAAGCTGTTTCTATTATGCTACATCATAAGTATATTTATGTTTTTTTTTTTTTCATTTTGAGTAATAGAGTGTCTCTTACATACCTTGCTTCTAAGGTATGTAAGAACTAAGAAAAACTTAGTTTTTCTTCTTCTTCTTTTTTTTTTTTTTCCCCACACAAAAGTTTTTAGTTTATTAAGCTTCTCATGAAAAATCCGCAACGGCCACAGGTAACATCATAGCAGCACCTTTACCTCTTTGGCTGTGATCCAATCTCCAGCTCACTTTTTGCCAGCACCAACATTGGCCTTTGCGGTCCCCCTGACTTTCTTCATTCTGTTCCTGCGTTCCGTTCCTTTCGTTGCTTTCTTGAGGTCTTTTTCTTCTCATACAGGCCATGTCTCACAAGTCTATGTTTGGGTCCATTTTTCTTTGCATAATCCAGGGAATTGTAAATCATACCAAAGCCAGTTGTCTTGCCACCACCAAAATGAGTTCTGAATCCAAATACGAAGATGACATCCGGTGTGGTCTTGTACATTTTGGCTAGTTTTTCCCAAATTTCTGTCTTAGGCACTGTTGCCTTCCCGGAGTAAAGGACAATGACCATTTGTTTCCTCTGAAGTAGTCGGTTGGTTGTGAACTTTCTAGTGTGGATAGTTACTGTGTCGTTCATGATGGCGGCCTCAGTTTTTCTTCTTTTAATTTTTGCAGATGAACTTGAGATGCTTTCTGAAGCCAGAGCTCGCTTGGCTAATACTCAGGGAAAGAAGGCCAAGAGGAAAGCAAGAGAGAAACAATTGGAAGAAGCAAGGTATGTGTGGATATAGGAATAAAAAGCGAAGTGTTTTTTTCACTTAACAATCAACACAGAATACTTCTGTGATCAGATAGGTGTTTTCTTCCCCCACCCCCCGCCACCACCAGCAAGCAGGCAGTCCTGCAGTGGATAGCAGGTTGTCCTCTCATTCAGTTAATTCTAATACTGTCTATCTGGAGATAGCTCCAGATCTCACAGGTTGAGGACTTAGTCCCACAAGACTGAACCCCAGTTTTGATGCTCACCATAAGCCTCAGGTTGTTTTCCTTGTGTTTCTGACCAAAGAGCTGGGTTCCACTGCCCTCTCCTTGGGTTCCATTCATTTGCTAGAGGGCTCACAGAACTCAAGGAAACACTTACTCACATTTACTGGTTTACTATAAAGGATATTTTAAAGGATACAAATTAACAGCCACATGAAGAGATATATGGGTTGAAGTCTGGAAGGGTCCTGAGTGTAGGCGCTTATGTCCCATTGAAGTTGGGATATGCCACCCTCTGAACAAGTGGGTGTGTTCTTGTTCACCTTTTTGGAAGCCCCATGTATTTGGCTGCCCACAAGTTCTCTAGACTCTGTCCTTTTGGGTTCGTATGGAGGCTTCATTATATAGGCATGATTGATGACATCACTGGCCATTGCTTATCAACTCAACCCTCAGCCCCTTCTCCCCTTCCCTGAGGTTGGGGATAGGGCTGAAAGTCCCAATCCTCTAATCCTGCCTTGTTCTTTCTGGTGACAGCCATCAGTCAACTCATTAACATACAGAAAGACATTTACCACTTGGAAGAGTCCCAGGATTTTAGGAGTTGCATTGTTGGAAACAGGGATGAAGACCAAATATATTATTTCACAATGTCACAGTGTGGTTGTTGCCATTCATAGTTCAGCAATTAGTCTAGGCATCCTTAGGACCAATAAAAACGGCATGATTTATTAACTCTGTTGGGTGAATAATAATTGGAATTGTCCAATTCTCATTTTTTTTAGTATTTACCTTCTTTATTTCTCTGAAAACATCTTGTATTTTTTTTCCCTAACCATTTCAGAATAGTTAGAGAAACCATATTTTTTTTTTTTTTGAGACGGAGTTTCCCTCTTGTTACCCAGGCTGGAGTGCAATGGCGCGATGTTGGCTCACCGCAACCTCCGCCTCCTGGGTTCAGGCAATTCTTCTGCCTCAGCCTCCTGAGTAGCTGGGATGACAGGCATGCGCCACCATGCCCAGCTAATTTTTTGTATTTTTAGTAGAGATGGGGTTTCACCATGTCAGTATGGTCTCGATCTCTTGACCTTATGATCCACCCACCTCGGCCTCCCAAAGTGCTGGGATTACAGGCCTGAGCCACCACGCCTAGCCTGAGAAACCATATTTTAAAAAATTTAAGCTGTGGCAGAAGTAATGCCCAGTTTATCCAGTATGTTGAGTTTGTTCTGTTGTCATATGAGAGATTCATTTGTTGTAGCTATTTTGGAGTCATGATTTTAGAACACACAAGATTATGTGTCTTTTGTATGACTGCTAATTAGTTACTTTCCCTGATTGGTATTGGGCAGGCACTGGCTGTGAAACTGAATACTTGGCTGAACAAAGAGGGACTTAATGAGCCTAGAACCAAATTTAGGCCCTCACAGAAATCTTATTTAAAAAGTAAATATGTATTACACATTGTCTTTCACCCAGGATTTTCTTCACTTTCCCCTTTTTTCCTTTTGGTTTAGTCCATGATTGATGTCCCAGTAACTCAGAATCCAAGATGAAGTCAATAAAGGGCAAATCTGGACTGGCCCTGGAATAACCTCCCTGTCCTACACAGTGCCCCTTTGTGGACCCCAGGTTGGCCTGCTGGTGCTTCTTCACCTGATGACTAGCAGGATGTTGGAATTAATGGCTCTGAAGTGCCAGATTCTGGGATAGAGGATTTTTTTCATGCCTGAGGGTGCATGTTGGCAGAGCTGGCCAGTTGCTAGCCTAGAATAGTTAACTTATGTTGAGGGTATGAGCTGCCTGGGGCAGTAAACAGAAACCAAGAGGAGGTACTAAATTTTCTCCCATTCTTGGCCACCTCTCTATTCTGTATACTATTTAGAGTTAAATACTGTGAGTAAGGTTGAAAAACATCACTTTTCCATTTCTATCCATGGTTGTTAGGGACCAGATTTTTAGAGCCTTTTAACCACGTGCATTGGGCCAGGGATACAGCAAATACATATGTGAAAAATCTCCAAGTATGGCTAGCATTGATTGCTTTAAATAAAATTTGCAGATTTTAATTTACCCTGTAATTTCTTGTAGGCATTCTTATAGATTGTGCAAATCTTTTAAGTTACATTATAACAGGCTGGGTTAGCCTTTATGCAGAGGACAGCACAGGGCTGTTTGTTTTAAATGTTAAATTACAAGTCTACCTTTTAACTTAAAGCAGTTTTTTATTGATTATAAAAGTAGCACATTTTTCCTTCCAGTATTGTTAATGTTCTAATTTTGGGACATAGGTGATATAATGCTTTATGACTTGGTTATATTCATTTAGCATTATGGCGTAAAGGTTTTCTAATGTGGTTTGAAGTCTTTATTTCCATTATTTAAAGAATGAAATTACTTTAAAATTTGAAATATATCTGTCTAAACCTGTCTTTCAACATAGATGTGTATTTATACGTATATATATATACACACACACACACACACACGTTAACATTTCTACAAAATTGAATCATCCTGTATTGTTTTAATGAGAAATACTGTAAATCTTATTGAGATTTCCTTGTAAGTGTTGAATCATTTTTGTTTTATTGCTTTTAATTTTAATTTAATTTTTTTTAAGAGAGGGTTTTTCTCTGTTGCCTAGGCTGTAGTGCAGAGTTCACTGCAGCCCTGAACACCTGGGCTCAAGTAATCCTCTGCCTTAGCCTCCTGAGTAGCTGGATCTACAGATGCACACCACCATGCCCACCTAATTTAAAAACAATTTTTTGTTGAGACGGAGTCTCAGTGTGTTGCCCAGGCTGGTCTTGAACTCCTGACCTCAAGCTATCCTTCTTTCTTGGACTCCCAAAGTGCTGGGATTACAGGTGCGAGCCACTGTGATTGGCCTGTCTTTTTTTTTTTTTTTTTTTGAGACGGAGTTTCGCTCTTGTTACCCAGGCTGGAGTGCAATGGCGCGATCTCAGCTCACCGCAACCTCTGCCTCCTGGGTTCAGGCAATTCTCCTGCCTCGGCCTCCTGAGTAGCTGGGATTACAGGCACGTGCCACCATGCCCAGCTAATTTTTTGTATTTTTTTAGTAGAGACGGGGTTTCACCATGTTGACCAGGATGGTCTCGATCTCTCGACCTTGTGATCCACCCGCCTCGGCCTCCCAAAGTGCTGGGATTACAAGCTTGAGCCACCGCGCCCGGCCTGGCCTGTCTTACTGATTTTAAATCTTCTCGTCTTTGGCTTTCAACATTTTTAATATGATGTGTCTGTTTGTAGATTTCTTTTTGTTTATCTTTCTTGGAGTTCATTGAGCTTACTGGATATGTAGATTAATATTTTTCAAAATTTCAGCCATTACATATCTTCACATATTTTATTCTGCTCCTTTCACTTCTCTCCTTTCGGTACTCCTGTTATGCTTATGTTGGTGCATTTAATAGTGCCACATATTTCTCTGAGGCTCTGTTCATATTTCTTCGTTCCTTTTCTCTCCTGTTGAGCCTCTCTAGTGAAGTTTACATTTCAGCTTTGTACATTTTTTTTTCTCTTTTAGACAGAGTCTTGCGTTGTCACCCAGGCTAGAGTGCAGTGGCACAATCTCTGCTTACTTCAACCTCCACCTGTCGGGTTCAAGCAATTCTCCTGCCTCAGCCTCCTGAGTAGCTGGAACTACAGGCGTGTGCTACCATGCTCAACTAATTTTTGTATTTTTCGTAGAGACGGAGTTTCACCCTGTTGGCCAGGCTGGTCTCAAACTCCTGACCTCAGGTAGTCTGCCCACCTTGGCCTTCCAAAGTGCTGGGATTATAGGCGTGAGCCACTGTGCCCAGCCACTTTAAAAAAAATTAAATAAATTAATATTTCTTAAATTTTTTCCCCCCATTTTTGTTATTTCATTCCTTTTCCCAAGTTAGCTGTTCAGCTTTGTGCTTTTCAACTTGAGAACTTCCATTTGGTTCTTTTTAAACATTTCTGTCTCTTTACTGATATTCTCTATTTGATGCAACATTGTCATCATACCTTCCTTTACTTTTTGGCTTCCTTTTAGTTTTGGAACATGTAATGGCTACTTTCAAGTCTGTTAATCTGACATCTGGTTGCTCTCATAGGCAGTTTCTGTTGCTTGTGTTTTTTCTAGCATATGGATCATTCTTTCCTGTTTCTTTGAATGTCTTATAATTTTTTGTTAGAAACTAGACATTTTGCCGGGCGCGGTGGCTCAAGCCTGTAATCCCAGCACTTTGGGAGGCTGAGGCGGGTGGATCACGAGGTCAAGAGATCGAGACCATCCTGGTCAACATAGTGAAACCCCGTCTCTACTAAAAATACAAAAAATTAGCTGGGCACGGTGGCACGTGCCTGTAATCCCAGCTACTCAGGAGGCTGAGGCAGGAGAATTGCCTGAGCCCGGGAGGCGGAGGTTGCGGTGAGCCGAGATCGTGCCATTGCACTCCAGCCTGGGTAACAAGAACGAAACTCCGTCTCAAAAAAAAAAAAAAGAAACTAGACATTTTAGATGATACAGCAATTTTGGGTACTCCCCTCAGCCCCCATTTATTATTTGCTTGTTTACTTGTTTGGTGACTGGCTTATTTTATTTATTTATGTTTTTGAGACTGAGTCTCACTCTGTCATCCAGGCTGGAATGCAGTGGCA